CGAGCCGAAATCGATGCTCAACTGACAGAGCCACCCAGGCGCACCTGGGGTCTCTTTTATAAGGGTACTAATCCCATTCATGAGGCTCCATCCACATGACCTACATACCTCCCAAAGTCTCCACTTACTATCACTTTGGGAGTTAGGATTTCAACACATGATTGTTGGGGGGCATATATTTAGTTCCTAGCAGCATCCCCAATACTCTCTTGACGAAAAGGAGAGTTTAGACAGTGAAGAGATAAAAGTCATGAATTTTTTAAAAAGAAATAGCTCTCAAGCTGGGCCTCTCATTTTGCATTTGGTTAGTTGTTTCTTTTCCATTTTTTTCAAAGCTTAAATAGAAGAATCTTCTTTCATACTTGTTGTATTTCTTCTAACTCATTTCAGCCCAACATAGCTGCCTGCAGAGTTGGTTTTGAAACTTCATTTTGTTGGCCATTATACTACTATCTTTCCCAGAATTGTTTTAGTCTAAAAAGTTTTTTACAGACACATGTTTTACATTTTAATCGGATGTATTGATTAAAATATTCAGGAGAATTGGACCCCAAACAGAGCTTTGTGGCGCTATTCTAGGGACTTCTCTCCAACTCAATATTGATCTTTTAAGCAACACTCTTTGGGAATGGTTGAAATCATTGCTAATCCTTGTAACAACAGGTAATTATGGAAGACTGTGTGAAGTGATTTGCTAAAATAGACATGAATTGTATTTAAGCCCTTACCGCCACTCAGTAGCTTAGAGGTTCCCATCAGGCTATCTGGGACTAAATTCATCATCCTATATATTTGACTCTAATTCCTTGGCATCAAATTTTTTGATTAAAAATGTTTAAATCTCCTATTTAAGTTCTTAAATATTATTGATGGTCTTTTCATTTTCAGGCCCCTATTATGTAATTTGCTTAAATATGTGGATATGAATATGTGGAAAAAGCCAGGTACTTCTGTACCATCTCTCTTTTGCAAGACTTCTCTTTAGCTGAAAACCTTGATTTGGGGTTAAGAGGGCAGGATCAGGAATAAAAACATCTAGATGCCGATACTTAATCTGTTCCTTAACTAGTTGTATAACCTATGATATGCCCTCTAACCTCTCTTAGCATTAGTTAATTCCTCTGTAAATAATGGGTTCTACTAGATGATTTCCATGAGTTCCTTCTTGTTGTAGAAACAGTAATCACAATCAACCTATTGAGAATAAACAAGAAACCTTCAGAGGAGTTTATAGGGAGGGGAGATGAATGGTACCATTCAGCAACTAAACAATTTTAAGAAATGACAGTGAAGGTAAGGGTGGCATGTAAACTCTGCAGGAATCTGGAGAGGGGAGAGAGCTGTGGGGGTTAGACTGTTGGCAGTAGATTTCATGGAGGCAGCCAAACAAAGGAGAGAATAGAAGGAGGAAAGAGTTGATGTCTGAAATACTTTTTATTCGTGTTTTATTTTGTTGATGTTTTAATCCTCTCCAAGGTCAATGTCAGTGTAAGATACCTTCCCACAATTCTTTGGGAATAAGTTAGGACTCCTGATTAACTGTCAAAGCAGTAAGTGCTTTGACAGTTAATCAGGAGTCCTAACTTATATTTTGATTTCAGAAATGGACAAGGTAGTGCCAATTATTTCCAAGCACAGCATTTTGAAGTGATAATCATTTTATTTGGAGTGAAATAACATTCAACGCATAAAAACTTGTAAAACTAGGCAGGACAATTTAGAAATTGTCTTCTGGCCTTAGCAGTATTTGAAGGCAAACAACTCAGATAATTGCTACTAGTGTTTGCTTTTTAATGTTGAATAAAGGTTGAGAAAGAAAAAAAAAACCAAGGGAATAATAGATGGTATCAATTTAGCTTGCTGTTTGAGGGATGAAGTGTGGTGTTTAGGAATCTAAGCTCTGGAGTCAGACTCTGGATCCATCTTTTGTGGTTGGATGAGGTTAAACTTTTGTACTTTAATTTCTTCAACAAATGGGCATAATAATAAAACTTACGGAGATTTTGTTAGGTTGAGATGTATTATCCCATAAAGAATTTAAACTAGTAGCTGGATTGATGAAAACACCCACTAAATGCTGATTATTATTATTATTTTTATTACCATTCTTAGTGTTTTTATATTCTCCCGTAAAAACATACATATGACTAAAAGGAATACAGGATGGAAATGATGTGAAATGGAAAGGAGAAATTAGAAGAATTCTGAGTTATTAATTCTCAAGGCATAAATATGGTAGATGGAGCCTTAGCTACTATAAATTCTCTTTATGAAAGAGTCTCTCCAACTGTTGGTCTCTTCATGCCTCTACTCCAAAATTGTTGAAAATTAAAGCCAAAGATCTTAGAATTTTGAGTGATCTCTCTGGACCTTAGAAATCATTGTGTCATGGGACTCTAACCTGTGATTTTATTATTTAAGATGAATTTACTTATTATCATTGAACTATAACTAATTAAACATGACAAGAATGCAACAATAGCAAAAGATAAGCATTGTTTTGCCTAACCTGTGAATTCATTGCAATGAGTAAGCATGTTGAGAATTTAGTTATACAATAAAATAATTAGAAAATCAATTGAAAGTCATTAAAATGAATAACCCAAGATATACAATCTTTTTAGGAATTTTTGGTAGGAAAAAAAAACAACTATTCCTAACTATCAAATGGGTATAATCAATACTCTTTCAAAATGTCTGTGATTATTTTGTCTTGAGTCAACTCAATTGTGGGAATCAACACCTGGAGAATGTAGTGGGGTGAGACATTACATGTGGGAGTAAAGAAAGCATAAAAGGGCTTTAAAACTTGGGGACAGGGGCACCTGGGAGGCTCAGTGGGTTAAAGCCTCTGGCTTTGGCTCAGGTCATGATCTCAGGGTTCTGGGATCGAGCCCCACATTGGGCTCTCTGTTCAGTGGGGAGCCTGCTTCCCTTCCTCTCTCTCTCTGCTTGCTTCTCTGCCTACTTGTGATCTCTGTCTGTCAAATAAATAAATAAAATCTTAAAAAAACAACAACCCTTGGGGGTACTAGGTAGGAAATTCATCCATTCCTATAGAGGATCAAGTAGCTGATGATTATAAAGCACTTTATGCATTCTTAATTCTGTAGCAGAGCTAGGACCTATTTCTTCAACTCTGTATATCTTTTCTTTTCAAGGCCTTCGGACAATTCTCTCTCCTTTTTCCTCCCTCTCTCCATGCCGACTTTTGTTGGGGACAAAATGGGTACTGGTGGGAAGCAGTGAATAAAAACAATGGGATGAACATTGTCCAGTGTACACTTAAAGGTAAGAAAGGACACTTCTTGAGCAACAAGAGGTCTTAGGCAGTGAAAGACTCTGATCTATTTAAAATGAGGCTAAGTAAAGCAGTGGAAAATGCCTATCAAGCAAGACTGCGGCTTGTCAAGAAGATGGGGTTAGATGCTTCAAGAGTTTCATCTTGAAGTTCTCTATTTTGGTAGCACAAGACATTATTAGTTCATCATACTGAGTGCTGAGAAAATTGTTTGCTGATGTAAAATGGCTGGATTTGACCAAATGAAAACAAGGTCAGTAAAGAGCTGTAAGACAAGACTTGTGCATAAAACCAAGCGATGTAGTTTCACAATGAGACCTTTGCTGAATGCAAGTTGGTTTTCTTCCAGATGGGTCATCTGTAAATCCACTGAAATGTGGACAAACTCAACTTTCCTCCATGAGTTGGATTAGGCTGTAGAGAAGATACCTGCTATATTTGTCACCTAAGCATTTCTTTGTTGTTCATTCTCTACTACCTCCATTTTTTTTGCTCATGAAATACATGTTGACCCTTCTCTGCAAAACCTATATTTTCTACTTTATAAAAGGAATCATATTTGAAATAACACAATGCATCCATGTGTACTATCTCCTATGAAGAACTGAAAACCACTGAGTATCACGGAAAACAATTTTTTTTAACCTTTTCAAATGTTTTGACTTGTCACCTTTATGTTTTCACCTTCTGCCTGATTATTCTTCATCACCTTGACAGGGCAAGTGTGTTCTCATTTGTGATCTTCTCTCCTAAAATGAATATGAAAAGTAAAGGCCACCTGTTGCCATTTAAGAATATGGTTATTCTCTAAATCCACTTGACATTTCAAGGCTTCACATCTGCTACTTTGTGATAACATTTTCCTTCATAGACCATGTGGTTTCTAAAATGGTGTCACATGAGTAGACAAATCTAGCCAAGAATGGTGTTTATGATTTCTAAGCTTAGGGTTGTTTTAGGATTTCATCCCCTGTAGGCAAAAGGGTGCACGGTGATTATTCTGGGCTCTTATTTAAAATATATGAGCACTTTTCTCCTTGTGTGCCCATTCTGATCGGTTGAAAGTGACTACTCATATTACTGGGTTGAGATTAGTGACTTACGGATGCCCAGATAAAATAGTCCATACCAATTTGGGATGTCTGTCATTGGTGAGGGATTTACCAGTGTTCTCTGTTGGCCGTTCTTACTTCAGAGACTTCTTAGGGGCAAAAGAAGGCTCTCACCTCTGTTTCAATCACATTTCATATCTGGCTGAGACAGCAGGGTCGCCACAGGCATGTGACAACACACTTCTACCTACCTGCCCCTCCCCAACCCCCTTTTCCCCTCTGCTCTTAGCTTGACTGATATTTAATCCTTGTGAGTTTTCTGAAGAAAGAAGAACCATTGCTGGCCTCGATTAAAAAGCCTAGGCAGGGTGATGTGTACTTATCAAGATAAACATTTATCTGCAACCCTCCTCTCTGGGCCTCAGGGGGCTCTTAATCACCCCAGAGGTTCAGGTTGCAGCAATATTTGCTCTTGGTGCATTTTCAGAGGCCAGGGTAATTCCATGGCCTGCAAATGAAGATAAGAGGCGGGTTGCAGACAAGGCAGCAGTTGCTGGTAGATAAGAGCGTGTTATTCCATGCCAGAGGTTAATGGGAATTGTCAGTGTGGTGGTGATTTTTCCAATCCTTTGTTTCTGTTTTGACAGAGGACTTGGCCCGAGCCAAACACAGGATCCAATTTCCAAGAACACCTGTCGCTTCGTGGATCAAATGTAAGAGATACTTCTTGGGAACTCCTTCTCTCCCAATACACCGTGTCCCTAGGTCATATTCTGGCTACATTCTTGGCATAAACTTTCCTCTGTCCATGCCTCTTGTTGCCAAATGGCTAATCTTCTCTCTTCCGCATGTTGTTTGCTTACAAAGCTTTAAAAATGTTTCTCTATTTCTTTCTTTCTTCTTTGTTTCTGAGCAAGATATGTAAATGACAAATATATTTCAAGTCAACGCTTAACTATTTCTGTGAGCATTACCAGAGAGCTCTGGGTAATAATAATCCACAAAGGAATCAAAATTAAAGTTTATTTTTATATTCATATTTATAGGATATAGTCATCCTATATAAACACATCCACTCAGTACCCAGGGTTGCCCTCTCTCCATGGCTGCTCTCCCCATGTGAGTCTAAATCTAGGGAAATGTGGCCCCTGCAATTGTAAACGATTCTTTGTACTTAGTAACTAAATGACTAGCATTCGTTTTCTGTGGATTTTTTCCCTTTTGCTTATCTGAATAGCTGCAAATGGGTTCTGTTATTTTAAAAACACAAATATTTAGTAGACTAATCTATAACACAATAGGTACCATTCACCTGCCTAAGGAACACAATTTGCCATAATCGGATTATTTCACCTAGAAAAAAGAAGGGGCCTCTTGAGAAAATTAAAAAAAAAAAAAAATCTTGTTGGTTCTGTTTTGAGGGCATTAGTCACTGTGTTGTTATCTACTATAATAATACCATATCCCACTTATTGAGTGCTTACCATGAGCCAAGCTCTGAGTAATGTTGCACATGTGATCCCATTTAATTCTTATGGAAAGTTCCTAAGTGGGTATCTCTCTCTCTCTGGTGGATGAGGATACCGACCTCAAGTGATGAGCAACTTGCCTGAGGTCACACAGCTAAGAAGAGATTGAGCTAGGTCTTTCTGCTTCCAATGCCCACGTTCTTCTCTGCCTCCCAATAAAGCAATAGACTTGGCCTTCAGAGAAACAGTACCAAAGGATCTTTTCCCAGTTTCTGAATCTCTGAGGCCTTGTCATTTTTCCAGACTTCCCTAAGATCTTGAATATAAATGTACCTAACAAAGATGAGCCCTTGCTGAGAAGGCTGTGCCTAGAGCCCATGTTTCCTGCCTCCTAACCCAGAGCTCTTTCTCAGTTTCAACACTCTAGAGGCTAATGGCTGGAGGTAAGAGAACAGCAAACCACTTTCATAAGCCCTTCCCCCACTTACTTCCTCTTCTCTCCACTCCACAGCTGCTCTTCTTTTCTCATTTTTAGAGACTTTATCCCTCAACATTTTATTGCATATATATTTGCTTTTTGTTTATCATGCTTCCCCATAATAGAATGTCTGCCCTAGGAGAAGAGAGACTTTGTTTCATTCACTGCTGTATCCTCAGGACCTAGTAGGCCCTCAATAAATATTTATGGGATAAATGAATGAAGACATAGATCTTTATAAGACTTAGTTAGATGCTTCCGTTCCCTTGAACGTGTTGGTGTTTGAAATTTAACAAAAACCCCTCTCTTTCACATACTATATATGAAGAGCTGTGGATACTTGGTTATGTACTCTAGAAGCAGTGGGTTTTTGTTTTATAAAAATGATTTAATACATCATTAATATAGTAATGTTTCATATTCAGGACACATCTGTCTATAAGCTCTGTCCTTCTGAAAGCTCAGGCCAATTTGTAATTAAATATACTTCAGAAAAATGCTCTAATTTATCATGCAACATCATATTGCTAAATGATTTGACATTTCTTTTTGCTCTACAACATGCAAAACATAACAAAACCAAATAACCCCCCCACCCCCCTTCTATTACATTTCTTTAACTTTTGGTAAAACTTTTTTCAGAGGTTCATTAAATTTAGGCAGAGTGTGCACGTGATATCTCATGTTAAAAGGTTCAGATATTCCACCTCTGAAGGATGTAGGGAAATTTAAACTTCAATGAGATTTCCTTGTTTTGAAGGGGGTTGTGGGGGTGGTAGAAGGAATGCCCCAGGGTGTTCTGCAGCAGTTTTCTGCCTCCATTGTTCCCCATGCCTTGCTGGGTATTGAAGGATTGAGATTCAGGCTACAACTCAAATTTTCTGAGGCATTAGTACTTAAAAAGCTGTGAGTGTTGAAGGGTTAAGAAAGGCCATGGTTGCTTGATGCTGGAGGGAAAGCTGGGAAGAAAATATTTTTATGCTTCTAATGTTAATCTAGAGAATGATCTTTCCTGCTTGAATAAGGGGGAAAAAAGCTTTCTTCTTATTTCATAATGCAACTGCATAAAATGTGATCTTTCTTGCATATGGAAATGACTCATTCTGAAAGGGTTTTCTCAGCCAGGGTTATCAGCTTTTCATTTTTCCTTCAGTACTACTAAAGGCTCCTTTGCTTTCTCTTTTCTCACCTCCCCACAGTGAGCTTTTGCTGTGTAATTTTTTCTGAAAGATCCAAATTTCCATTGACTCCTTTTACTTTAGAGTGTTTATTTAACAGCAAATGATCAATGTTGAGCTAAATAGGGAAGAAATCATCTGTATAGTTACATTTCTTGATATCTCTCAGCACATGCTCGCCTATTTTAAATGCTAACACGGCAAACTGTGTTGGATAAGCATTCTGGGGTGTCCATGTGTTCGTTATTTTGCAACATAAAGTGAAGATACTCAATCCTTGAAAATTGCTTTCTGAGATTGGATGCTGCGCCGTGTCTCCTAACTCATATTTATCCTTAATAAAAAGGTATTACAGGAGGAATATGCTTGTACTTGCTGGATCAACTCTTTACTATAAAGTAGGTTAAGATACATTGATATTTATTGTTTTGAGAAGAGGTGCTCTGGAAAAAGAGAAAGAGAGACAGAGATAGAGAGTTTAATATACAGCTATTTACCAGGTAGACTGACTTCATCAGGAACGGTATAGATCCTTTATAAGGAAGTTAAGGGTTAAAAGTGTGGCAACTCTAGGAGGGCAGATTTGAATTTGAGTTTTGACTTCAGTTTTCCAGCTTCTGGACAAATACTCAATACCTCTGTGCCTTTGCTTGCTTCCTCATTTACACAGTGGGTATAGTAAGAACATCAGTCTTGAAATAGAGTATGAGGGTTCAATAGTTGATCTGTATAAAGCACTCACCACAAAGCTGAGTGTATGATAAGTCATTACTTTATGTTAACTACTACCATTATTGTCATTAAATAATTCAGCTGGCAAATGGACATACGGTGAAGAAGACCAAGGTTTGGACAGAGATGATCCGTGGCCAATGGGTCCTCATTAATTAATGTCATGTTCTCAGAGAAACCTGCTTTGAATGCCTAAATAAGGGTAGGCAACCCCTGGTATATGTTTTCATAGCATCCTTTACTTTTTTCTTTATACAATTTACCACAGTTTTTTTTTTTTTTTTAAGATTTTATTTATTGAGAGCATAAGCAGGGGGAGGAGTAGGAGGAGAAGGAGAAGCAGACTCCTCGCTGAGCAAGGAGCTTGATATGAGGCTCCACCCCAGGATCCTGAGATCATGACCTGAACTGAAAGCAGATGCTTAATGGACTGAGCCACCCAGCTGCCCCTAAAATTTACCACAGTTTTATTTATTTGTAGGATTATGATTTAGTGTGACAGGTGATGGAAAGGATCCTGGGTATTTTGTTAACTGCTTTATACCCTGGCATATTCCATAGTGTCTGGAACAGAGTGGGTTCTCAAAATCCTGGACGAATAGATGACAAATTCAGGAAAGATTTATGAGGTACTTGCACCCCTGGCAGAGCACCTTTGTAAACAGATGAATGGATGAACTCTTGTGGTTTCATCAGACTTCTTAGGCTGCTCTTTTTCAAGGTCCTTTGCTGGCTCTTTCTCCTTTGCTCAATGTTGAATTGTATTTAGAGTGATATATAGAGATATAGGAGGACAAAGGTAGATTATTCCACAAATCCAATTCCATGTCAAAACTGTCTCATTGCTTTATTACATCACCACTCTAGACTCTGCAGTTTAGAACTGGAGAAACATGGTCCTTGAGGACTTGAAATAGGTTCTATCTCTTTATTGTGCCAGGTACTATTCAAATTCCCTTTGACAATGGCTTCTACAAGCATGCATGACGTGAGGGTCTTGGTGCAGTTGGTTTCAATGGAAACAGCACACTTACATGTACATGAGGACCAAACAGGTAATATAAAGTGGTAAGCTGGCTAGGTGAGGACAGTGGCAAACGACATGAGAGCCCCATTCCAGGGACAGCCATAACTCAAATTTCTATTGCTTTTTGATACACAAGAGCCCAATATTGCCAGATCTGCCAATTTTTCAAGAGAAGCTTGACATCTATATTTCTACGGGAAGTTTTCTTTTTAAAAACATTATCAATGAATTCTTCTTATTTTTTAATTAAAAATTATTTTTTTAATTAAAAAATTGTGTGCTCTAAACTGATAGTTCTTATGGTTGAATCCAACCCAGGGGGAAACTGTCCAGACAATTGCGTCTGTATAACCCCAAATCATTCACTGTCAAGTGAAAAAAAATTAGTGTCCTAACTGTGACAAAAGCTATTAAAAAAATGTGTACAAAGAGTTGGACGCAAAGATATAAATATTGGCTTTGGATTCATATAGATCTAGGTTTGCAATGCGATGTTGGACAAATTACTTAACCTCTCTGAGATTATTTCTACTGATAAGATTCTTTGATTCTCTAGGGGCTTATTTGACAGAAAGGAATATAAACTTCTATCTATATTTCAAAATATGCTTAATTTACTAAATGTACATACCTAATAGACAAAACTATGAGACATCAAATTGAAAATTTACAATTTATTACAAATGAATTAAACTCTCATAAAAAGTAGATTAAATTTTAAATTTTAATGTGACTGAAACTTTTGAGCACTATAAATAAATACCTTTAAGAGTGACAAAATGACTATAATTACAGTGT